CCTGAATCATGTTTCAAACCTTTTTCTTTATTCGAGGAAATGCGAACTGAAACCGTTTACAGTTAAAGGTCAGACAAGTTTGCTGCAAAGAGATATTGTATTCAGTTAATATCAGTAGACCATTTTTTTTTCACCTTCGATACGTACTATTAATACATTATAGCTTTCAGTTCTTGTGTTCTTCAGAACTCCAATAAATGTATATATGTATTCGTGGAAAAATAAAAAAACATTTGAAAACATTCAGTAAACAGGAGGAGTAACTCAACTAAGGCATACTTCTCCTACATTTTAGAACTGTTCCTCTTTGGTAAGTGAACTTCTGAAAAAAGGTGACGATAATTAAATTTTTAAATTTTTTTTTTTAATATTTATTATCATAATTATAAAAAAAAATATCGGAAATGTCATATAGTCAATTTCAGATTTAAAAAAAATGATGTGGTATGATCTCGAATACATTCAATCGATGAAATTCAAGATATTTTAGGCTAATCTTGTTTATCGACCTTTTATGGAAGGGAAGGGGCTATGCAAACGCGCAAATAATCAATAATAGGAATCGGTTTTTATTTTAAATACAACGGGATCGTATTACTCGTCATCTTGACGCTTAATAATTAACGTCAAATTTGACGTCTTGTTAGATTTAAGTTTAATTGAAATAGCAGGGGTCTACATCCCTACTGTGTTCTACGTCTTTGATATTCTCGTACAATAATATTTTTAAGGAAATGACGTGATTCACAACTTAACCAAGGGAAAGAACTCATCCCTTTTGTTCCTAATATATTCCTACAATGATATTTTGAAGGAAATGACGTGATTCGCCAACTTACCAAGGGAAGGAACTCATCCCTCTACGTCTCCATCAAATTACGGAATGGCGCAGATTTATATGAAATATATGATCAGTTTTCTATCTCTGATGAAGCAGACAACTACAGACTCTTTCTTGGAGGGCCAGCTAGAGGAGCCTTAGGTAATTTACAGGTAGAAAGTGTGAATGTCATTAATGTGCAGAGAGAGAGAGAGAGAGAGAGCTAATTTGTAAAAATGAGACCTAATATTTGTTTAAAAGAGTTTTGTCAATTTTAATCCGATGTCCTATCTACCAATAGCAGTTTATTTAGCATCTTTGTCTCAATCTTAAGCCAAATAGTTACTAAATAAAAGCAATGTATTTCAACAGATTTTCTTTTGTTCGACTCAGTTTAAACAACTTATAACGATTTTCAAAAACTAATATATTACGTAGTTTAAAAAAAGTGTATTATGCTTTGTTTTGTTTTTTCATATTTTCATCCCTTTGTAATTTTCCGAGTAGCTGATATAATTTATTACATACTTTGTAAGAAATACAGTTTTTGCTTGTATATGCGGTATGCCTGATGCCAACGTAGCTCTACCAGCACCTATGCATTACGGATCCGTAATGCATGCCTCTGCCATGTATTAGGGATCTAATGCACCTATTGCTGAACCCTCTCTATTTCCTTCGGGACATTTTTTTGTTATTTTTTTTTCCATCTGAGCATATTACTTAAGTTTTAACTAACAAACTTCAAGCAAATCGATATACTCAACAAAAAAAGAAACACATATTTTTTACGAATCAAAGAAATTTTGAAACACTACATGGAACAACTAACATTCTTATCAATGGATACCTGTGACATATTTAAAGAACAACATAAGCTTTTAAAACCCAAGTGTCGAATTTTTTCGCTTGATAAATCATGTTTATGAAAAGAGTGTTTTGCACGATTTCTTGTAAATCGGGGGTCTATTTTCATTGATATTTTGAATTTAGAAAAATAAAAACTATAAACTCTCCTATTGAACCAAAGTTTAAAGATTTTATTGCCTGTTTGATGCTGCAATGCCATGCCTTAACAAAGATGAACGCAACCGGGCTGTAACGATGCTACTAGCCGGAGCTACGCAACAGGAAGCTGCAACTGCATTTGGAGTGCACCAATCGACTGTGCAGCGGTTTAACGTACGTCTCCAACAGCTAGTAAGCAAGGATGACAGACCAAGAACTGGCCGTCCGCTGGTTACCACTCCCAGGCAAGACCGTCAGATCCGCCTTCCGCACCTGTGCAATCGATTCATAACTGCTTTAAAAATTGCTGTTGCAATTGCTGGACGAGGAAATCAGCGCATAAGTGCCCAAATTGTTCGTAACAGACTGCGAGGAGCTAAAATTCATGCACGACGTCCGTGCATTAGAAATCCAATATCGCCAAGATTTCGCCAGGGACAAACGTATTGGTTAAGACGGCATGACCCTAGAGTTTGTAGGCGACGACAATGGCATCAAGTTCTCTTCACAGATGAGTCGAAATTCAACTTGTATAGAGCTGATGGTCGTCCAAATGTGTATCGCCGGATGAATGAGCGTTTTGCAGACTGTTGTGTAAGTGAAAGAGATAGCTTTGGGGTGGAAACATTATGATGTGGGGAGATATTGCTTACGGAAGGCGAAGACCACACCACGTAATTCATGGCACTACAAATCGCGATGAATTCCTTGCTTCTTTGGTTGTTCCATTTGTCCATTAGCACAAACTGACTCAACAGGACAACGCAAAGAAGCATATGGCAAGGGTGTGCTCGGATTTTCCTCAGACGAAAAACGTAGATGTTCTTCTATGGCCAGCGTTCTCACCAGACCTTAATCAAATAGAGCATCTATGGGATAAGTTGGATAAACGAGTTAGACGCCGTCCCAATCCACCAGTCATCATCCAGGATCTAGAGCAGGCCTTGTTGCAGAAATGAATCAATATCCCTCAGGTTACCATCAACAAGGTTATTAACTCTATGACACGGCGTGTTCTGGCTGCAATTGATGCGACATATAAACTCACTGTAATACAGTCCTAAATTTCTTACCTTGTATGGACCGAGAGAAACTTTGGTATTATTCTTAACTTCTCAGCTTTGTTAAGGAAGGAAATGGAAAATGCGATCTTTTTACATTCTTAATAGGTATTATTTTTAAAAATCTTTGTAACAAAGTAACTGTAAACATCTAGGAAAGGTAATATAGATATCCATAATGGATAGGTTCGTGGCTTACTCAGTACCAGTTACATCGCATGTATCAGCTGTGTGTCACGTGACTGTTATAAAAATAGAATTGGTCAGCCGAATGTAGAAAATAAGGCTAGTGCAAGGGCATACGCATGTTTTTGGAGAAAAATATTTATACATATTAAAAAAGATTTACATCGGCTTCCCGAAAAGTGCTGGGAGCTACTTTGAGCTGTTTCGGAAAGACTCGTAATTATGCCGAAAATATATATATAGCTCAAAATCTCCACTTCGCTTAAATTCTGTCATGAATAAAAATAATGTTATGCCGACCAGAATCAGCTCCCAGCACTTTTCAAAATATACATAATATAAGCAATTGATATTCCATATTTCAGCTCAAACAGTCTAGTCTATGCCCTTGCACTTTTGAGGTTAATCAGGCATACACGTATCGTGTTAGCGATATCCTTTACATTCTCTGTCTATGTGCAGCTCCATAGCACCTACATAAATTAATAGTCTACATTATTGTTTTAAATAAATTATTTCCTTTTAATTTTATTAATTAGATTTAAACATTGGCGAATGTTTTATATTTATTTAAGCATTTTTGTAATTATTAAACCAATCGATCCACTCCTCTGGATCACTTGTACTGCGTCAAGTCAAGGCTAGTGACGTCATATATTACACAAGATTTGCTTCTAATAACTCGGCAGTATTGCTATCAGATGTTGTGATTTTACAAGCTTTTATAAATAATTGATAAGATAAATGAATGCAAGTTGTTATTTACGCATCAGTATGTGGCTAAATATATTTTTGTCGCTTGTTAAATTTTTAATGGCGTCAAAATAAAACTTCTCATACGGTGCATCACTAATTTGAACTCAGGCCTTCCTTAACGTAGCTGAGTTTTCAATACAGCAATATGAAACATCTTTGATTTTTATCACAAGACGCTTTACTAATAAAAATTAAAATAAGATTAAAAAAAAAAAATAAGTAAACTGAAAAATTAAATTATCAAGTGCTTTGGGGGGGGGGGGGTTTCTGGTGGGTTTTTTTTTTTTTTTTTTGGTTTTCTTTTTTGTTTTGTTATTTTTATTTTGACTATATATGGAATTTCCTAATCCCATAACTAGATAATTAATGTTACTTCTATGTTCCTTACGTAAAATATAGATTGGAAATGCTTAAATTTAAATTCACAAATTGACTTTGATCGAAGAGTGGTAAGATATGTTAAAATATGGTTAAACTTTCTTTTGCTGGGAAAACATTATTGTAAGAAATTTCGTTAAGAGTGGTTTACAAAAATAAATCAAAATGTTCCTAAATTGTTTATACTACTTGTATGTTATTACTAAGAATGTGATTAAAAAAAAATGCTTTATTCTGTGTATGTCAAAAATAGTAATTAGCTGACCATGCATTGCTTGAGAATAAAGATTGATATTGTGATGATGACATATTCGATATTCAACCAAGATTTTATTTTGTGTGAGAGATTAACCATTTCTTTTTTTTGATTAAGCAGTTTATTTTTTTTTTAATTTGTCAAATTCTTAATAAAGCATTAATCCATTCCTTTTAATTAAATTTGACCATTATTAAATGTCATTAAGTTCATTATTTTCAAAGTAAGATATTGATGAAATATGTGGACATACGCATATATTGTAAACAGATATGCAATATTGAAAAGGATAAATTTTTGTATGCAGATCATTTTGAAGAATTCCAATTTATTAACTTGTTGTCTATAACTTACTAAAAACTCCTCTTGAGAGTAGTACAATAAAGATTAAGTAATACTTATAACAAAAAAAAAAACCAACAACAAAACGTTTTATTTGATAATTCTTATCCACATAAAAAAAGGATGTAATGCTTTCTCAACTAAAGTTACTTGTTTGAATTCCCGGGAGAGGTATACACAATTCAAATACATCATGTCAACTGTTGATAATAAAGGTATGAACTGAAATAAGCTATCGATATTTTTTTTCTCTTTAATTAAGATCTTGGTGTAATATTAATTTCCTTTTTACTTCTACAGGTGACAGTATGTTAAACACGGGGATTTCTCACTATGATCTGTCAGGGATGTCATTTACTACCCTAGACAGAGACAACGACAGGTGTAGATGTAACTGTGCTGTTATGTATGGAGGAGGGTGGTGCTTTAACTACTGTCATTACGCCTTCCACAACGGTGACTGGTCCCCGGCAACCTGGGTTTATCCATGGTATCCGTTAATTAGGGATAGTAGAGAGATAAAGGAGACTGCCATGATGATAAAACCTCACTGACTGTGTTATATCTTATAGTAAGAGATGGTAGAGAGATAAAGGAGTCTCTCATGATGATAAAACCTCACTGACTGTGTTATATCTTATAGTAAGAGATGGTAGAGAGATAAAGGAGACTCTTATGATAAAACCTCACTGACTGTGTTACATCTTATTGTAAGAGATGATAGAGAGTTATAGGAGACTCTCATGATAAAACCTCACTGACTGTGTTATATCTTATAGTAAGAGATGGTAGAGAGATAAAGGAGACTCTTATGATGATAAAACCTTACTTACTGTGTTATATCTTATAGTAAGAGATAGTAGAGAGATAAAGGAGACTCTTATGATGATAAAACCTCACTGACTGTGTTATATCTTATAGTAAGAGATGGTAGAGAGATAAAGGAGACTCTTATGATAAAACCTCACTGACTGTGTTATATCTTATAGTAAGAGATGATAGAGAGATAAAGGAGACTCTCATGATAAAACCTCACTGACTGTGTTATATCTAATAGTAAGAGATGATAGAGAGTTAAAGGAGACTCTTATGATAAAACCTCACTGACTGTGTTATATCTAATAGTAAGAGATGATAGAGAGTTAAAGGAGACTCTTATGATGATAAAACCTCACTGACTGTGTTATATCTTATAGTGAGAGATGGCAGAGAGATAAAGGAAACTCTTATGATGATAAAACCTCACTGACTGTGTCATATCTTATAGTAAGAGATGGTAGAGAGATAAAGGAGACTCTTATGATAAAACCTCACTGACTGTGTTATATCTTATAGTAAGAGATGATAGAGAGATAAAGGAGACACTCATGATGATTAAACCTCACTGACTGTGTTATATCTTATAGTAAGAGATAGTAGAGAGATAAAGGAGACTCTTATGATGATAAAACCTCACTGACTGTGTTATATCTTATAGTAAGAGATGGTAGAGAGATAAAGGAGACTCTTATGATAAAACCTCACTGACTGTGTTATATCTAATAGTAAGAGATGATAGAGAGTTAAAGGAGACTCTCATGATAAAACCTCACTGACTGTGTTATATCTAATAGTAAGAGATGATAGAGAGTTAAAGGAGACTCTTATGATAAAACCTCACTGACTGTGTTATATCTAATAGTAAGAGATGGTAGAGAGATAAAGGAGACTCTTATGATGATAAAACCTCACTGACTGTGTTATATCTTATAGTGAGAGATGGCAGAGAGATAAAGGAAACTCTTATGATGATAAAACCTCACTGACTGTGTCATATCTTATAGTAAGAGATGGTAGAGAGATAAAGGAGACTATCATGATGATGAACCCTCCCTGACTGTTTTATATCTTATAGTAAGAGATGATAGAGAGATAAAGGAGACACTCATGATGATTAAACCTCACTGACTGTGTTATATCTTATAGTAAGAGATGGTAGAGAGATAAAGGAGACTCTCATGATTATAAAACCTCACTGACTGTGTTATATCTTATAGTAAGAGATGGTAGAGAGATAAAGGAGACTGTCATGATGATAAAACCTCACTGACTGTGTTATATCTTATAGTAAGAGATGATAGAGAGTTAAAGGAGACTCTTATGATAAAACCTCACTGACTGTGTTATATCTTATAGTAAGAGATGATAGAGAGATAAAGGAGACTCTCATGATGATAAAACCTCACTGACTTTGTTATATCTTATAGTAAGAGATGGTAGAGAGATATAGGAGACTCTCATGATGATAAAACCTCACTGACTGTGTTATATCTTATAGTAAGAGATGATAGAGAGATAAAGGAGACTCTCATGATGATAAAACCTCACTGACTGTGTTATATCTTACAGTAAGAGATGGTAGAGAGATATAGGAGACTCTCATGATGATAAAACCTCACTGACTGTGTTATATCTTATAGTAAGAGATGGTAGAGAGATAAAGGAGACTCTTATGATGATAAAACCTCACTGACTGTGTTATATCTTATAGCAAGAGATGATAGAGAGTTAAAGGAGACTCTTATGATAAAACCTCACTGACTGTGTTATATCTTATAGTAAGAGATGGTAGAGAGATAAAGGAGACACTGATGATGATAAAACCTCACTGACTGTGTTATATCTTATAGTAAGAGATGGTAGAGAGATAAAGGAGACACTGATGATGATAAAACCTCACTGACTGTGTTATATCTTATAGTAAGAGATGGTAGAGAGATAAAGGAGACACTGATGATGATAAAACCTCACTGACTGTGTTATATCTTATAGTAAGAGATGGTAGAGAGATAAAGGAGACTCTTATGATAAAACCTCACTGACTGTGTTATATCTTATAGTAAGAGATGGTAGAGAGATAAAGGAGACTCTCATGATGATAAAACCTCACTGACTGTGTTATATCTTATAGTAAGAGATGGTAGATAGTTAAAGGAGACTCTTATGATAAAACCTCACTGACTGTGTTATATCTTATAGTAAGAGATGGTAGAGAGATAAAGGAGATTCTTATGATAAAACCTCACTGACTGTGTTATATCTTATAGTAAGAGATGATAGATAGTTAAAGGAGACTCTTATGATAAAACCTCACTGACTGTGTTATATCTTATAGTAAGAGATGGTAGAGAGATAAAGGAGATTCTTATGATAAAACCTCACTGACTGTGTTATATCTTATAGTAAGAGATGATAGATAGTTAAAGGAGACTCTTATGATAAAACCTCACTGACTGTGTTATATCTTATAGTAAGAGATGGTAGAGAGATAAAGGAGATTCTTATGATAAAACCTCACTGACTGTGTTATATCTTATAGTAAGAGATGGTAGAGAGATAAAGGAGATTCTTATGATAAAACCTCACTGACTGTGTTATATCTTATAGTAAGAGATGGTAGAGAGATAAAGGAGACTCTTATGATAAAACCTCACTGACTGTGTTATATCTTATAGTAAGAGATGATAGAGAGATAAAGGAGACTCTTATGATGATAAAACCTCACTGACTGTGTTATATCTTATAGTAAGAGATGGTAGAGAGTTAAAGGAGACTCTCATGATGATAAAACCTCACTGACTGTGTTATATCTTATAGTAAGAGATGGTAGAGAGATAAAGGAGACTCTTATGATAAAATCTCACTGACTGTGTTATATCTTATAGTAAGAGATGGTAGAGAGATAAAGGAGACTGTCATGATGATAAAACCTCACTGACTGTGTTATATCTTATAGTAAGAGATGATAGAGAGTTAAAGGAGACTCTTATGATAAAACCTCACTGACTGTGTTATATCTTATAGTAAGAGATGGTAGAGAGATAAAGGAGACTGTCATGATGATAAAACCTCACTGACTGTGTTATATCTTATAGTAAGAGATGATAGAGAGTTGGAGGAGACTCTTATGATAAAACCTCACTGACTGTGTTATATCTTATAGTAAGAGATGGTAGAGAGATAAAGGAGACTCTTATGATAAAACCTCACTGACTGTGTTACATCTTATAGTAAGAGATGGTAGAGAGATAAAGGAGACTATCATGATGATAAAACCTCACTGACTGTGTTATATCTTATAGTAAGAGATGGTAGAGAGATAAAGGAGACTATCATGATGATAAAACCTCACTGACTGTGTTATATCTTATAGTAAGAGATGATAGAGAGATAAAGGAGAATCTCATGCTGCTAAAACCTCACTGACTGTGTTATATCTTATAGTAAGAGATGGTAGATAGATAAAGAAGACTCTCATGATGATAAAACCTCACTGACTGTGTTATATCTTATAGTAAGAGATGGTAGACAGATAAAAAAGACACTCATGATGATAAAACCTCACTGACTGTGTTATATCTTATAGTAAGAGATGGTAGAGAGATAAAGGAGACTCTTATGATGATAAAACCTCACTGACTGTGTTATATCTTATAGTAAGGGATGATAGAGAGATACAGGAGACTCTTATGATGATAAAACCACACTGACTCTGTTATATGATGATAAAATCCTTTTTTTTACTGACATACACGAAGTTTTAAAAGTGTATTTCATACAACAGAGGAATGAGAAGACACACAAATCATTGTTCCCCACGTAATTTAAAATTTCAATTCAACGACATCACAGCACTTCTTCAACCACTAAATCAAATCCCTCAAATATCCTCCAAAAATTGACCCGACGAAAATGTTTGATTGAAAAGTATTTTGAACGCCACGAAAGGAACATCATACAAAATAAAATCCTCATTCGCTAATAATATTTTCTCAAACCATGAAAATTTAACCCGACGAAACATGTGAACGAAGTCGGGGGACGTACTGCTATTGTACGCATGAAAACATTGTTCACGGACTTTCTCGCAGATGGCTGGGGCAATGTTTCTGAAACTTTTCATAAAAGATGATGACCAGCTGTGTTTGTGCGGAAAACATTTTTCAGTTTCAGCATGGCTACCGTTGCCATGGAAACGTAAGAAAAGTAAAGAATGTTGTCCTGAAGTGTTTTCGCTGATCCATTCGACAATCGTAATGAATCTTCATAGAAATGATAAACGGTAATTGTAGTTGTGCGAATCACATTTAAAATTTTCAATAGATGCTATCTATTTTAAAATAGATTTTAAATAGATGCTTCGTACACCGTACAGAAATTGAAAAAAGAATTGATGTTGCGCGGCGCTGTAACTACGGGAAGAAAAACAGATCTCATAGAAAGGTAAGAAAAACATTAATACTGTTAAAAATAAATGATTTTCATTGAAGTAATCGTAATATGATTAAAATAATTAGGGTTATCAGAGTCAAGTCACACGAGTGCTACATTGTCAGTGATTGTACTGACAATATGCCTACAAAAACTGTTAAACAAATTTCATATTACTGTGTAGGTTGGAAGCATACGAACGAAATTTTAACTTTAGCGGTCGCGTAATAGAGCTGCCAGCGGAAAGGAAGGTAGACTGGCCCACTACTGGGTATAAACAAATAACATCAGAGCATTATGACTTAATGCCACATATATCAGAAGCCCATATCGAAGGTACAGTAATATGGGGGAAAATCGCTAATTTGGTGTATGCCACACATGAAATTTAACAGTTTTGAGGATATCAAATATAAATATGTCAATGTGCAGGTGTAAAACTTGTATATATTTTCTTTTGGAATTCTTAGGATATTTTCAATACAGACAAGCAGTTGACAGGCAAATGATGGGCAATACAAAGGCGATTGTGAAAGGAAAATTGCTCTTGGAGTCAGAGAGAGTTGAAGCACTGAGTATTAACTGTCAACATGAGGACTTTTTTCTTACAGGATTTGTCAGAGCAGCAAGGAAGAAAAAGGTAGTGTTTCAAAATAAATGAAAAACAACTAATTAAAAACAGATTTTAAAAAAATCAATGAACATGTGTGTGTAGTATGAAAGTAGAGTGAATCAAGATTGTCTGAGTAATGAGTATTACATTGTTGACTGTATTTAACAGGTGTCTTACAATTATCGTGTAGGAATTCACAGAAAAACGGGTGAAATTAAAAATTCAGATTGTGAATGCCCTGCTGGGAAGGGCCCTAATGGAACTTGTAAACATGTAGCCGTTGTTGTTTTGCTCTTGGTGAAATTTCGGGAAACACGCATTATAGCCATTCCTAGGGGATGTACAGATAATCTCCAGACTTTTCATAAGCCAAAGAAGTCTTTCCAAGTTGAGCTGCCTGTGTTTAAAAATGTTTCCTATTCATGTTTTTTTTTTTTATTTGACTATTTAAATTTTGAATATTTGTTGTTGTTTATATACACAAGTGTCAAAAGTTACAAACGACTTTTCAGTATATATTAAATTTTGATGATGATGATGCCCCATCCTCGCTAGCTAAGGGTTTCTGGTCTGCTACTCAACTTACAAACCCTTGGCCTATGGTGTTATCAAAAGTCGGGATTTTTTTTCTCGAGTTGCGATTGGAGTTTCTTGATATTGTTAGACCAATCAGCAAATGCTTTTGTACATATGACGATATCTCAATTTGAGATATATCTTGACTCAAAAGTCTCAGGAACGAAAAAAATGGGTAAACAATGATCCCTAACATGCCTAAGATAATGTGGCATTATATAAATGGCTATAGTGTCATCCATGCACATAATGTGATCAGGAATCTGTATTGGAGATACAGACTTGCACCCTTAAGAACAAATAAACATCGCTCGATAGCTACTTCTAAATTATTATTTTTTTTTAAAAAACGCTCTTTATTTTTGTTGTTGATGCTAGTTGTGGGTACATGTATGTGGTAAGATTCGAAATCAGGTGACATAAACAATCCCAACTTTTGATAGCACCATTGGTTAAGGGTGGCTAGCTAGGATAATAATCTCCTGTAACATATAACAACTTTAATTCTGTGACCCGTGTCACAATATTTTTAAAATATAAAAGTTGCATGATCTACAGACAGGTATACAAAACTACAGTTTGAGAAGTTGTTTTAGGTAGTTCTTCTCATGCATGCAAAATTTAGTTTTTATGTTCAGTCTTTGTTGAATATACACTAAATATGAATACATATGATCCACAAATTTACAAGTCATGTACATGTATATTATAAGTAAACCATGAAATAAGAAAGCTTTAAATTAATGCAGATATTGATTACAAATACTGATATATTCAATATATTACTTTATTAAAAGTGATGGAAATGTGATTTCTTTGTACAGGAATACAATACTGAAATATATATTTGGCAAATTTTAATAGAAGTTAAATTACATGTAAACTAATGCGTTTTTTTTTTTTTTTGGGGGGGGGTTAATGTCCGACTTATTTTAAACCTTTGAATTTTACAGGCTCCCCCATAAAAGCAGAAGACATGCCTTGTCGGTTAACCCAGATCTTAGTGACCCAAAACCTCAGAAATACAGAGGAATTGCTGGATACAACGATTATGTGAGCAACATTGTAACCAATTACTGTGCTTTAACGTCAGCAGATTTATCTTTCAAGTACATGAAGCCCAAGGCATTTATCAACTTTGCAGTACTGGACCATGATTACTTGGACCTGCCATTCACTGAATATTGGATAGATGCAGCTCAGAATGTATGATATTAATGAAATATTTTGTTAATTGTAATCTTTTATAAGAGTAATGATTTATATGTCTTTTGGAAAAGAAAAAAAAAAAAAACAAGATGTGTTTGTAAAACACTGATGCCTCCATATGGCAGCTTCTGGCAATGGTGAAAGTTTAAGATACATGTATTGATAATTTAAAGTGCTACTGAACTATTCTTACAAGGTTACATTATAAATTCTTGAAATAAAAGAACTGGTTTATAATGAATTTTGATATACTTGAAGTGTTTCTTTGGTATGAACAAATTTTAATTTTTCGTATCTAGGTTTCAGATAGGGACATTGCCCGCATCGAACACAGAACTAGGAAACAGAATCTGTCGAAAGTTTGGCACCAAGAGAGAGAATGGCGTTTGACAGCTTCCAGGTTTGGGGATATTTGCAAAGCTACTGATCGACGTAACAGACTGAAGCTGTGTTCTAGCATCTTTAAACCTCTTAAACTGAAAACACCAGCTGTCTTACATGGCCAACAGTATGAAGCTGTAGCAAGACAAACATTTCAAAAAAAAAGTGGTTTCAAAGTAAAGACTTGTGGTCTTTTCATAGACTCGGAGAACAATTATTTGGCTGCTTCGCCCGATGGCATTATTGGAGAAAATGCTATTGTTGAAATTAAATGTCCATATAAGGGTAGAGATCGTAAGACTGCTGCAGACAAGTTTTTCCCATTCTTGCTAGAGGATGATGATGGTGTATTGCATTTAAAACAGAATCATAATTATTATATGGAGTTGCAAGGGCAGCTTAATGTTTGTAAAAAAGAGAAGTGTTTCTTTGTTGTTTACACATTTGTAGATATTTTTGTGGAAGAAATCAATGTTGATAGAGATTACTTCTGTAGTTGCATGCTACCAAAGTTAGAGGTGTTTTATAAAAAAAACACTACAGAAAATTTCTTGCTGAAAAATTGTAAATTGATGTCATAAATCTGCAGTTTAAGCTTTTTCTGTGAAGACTTGTACATAATTTGTTCATTTCTATATGGATAATATGATGATATTTGCAGGTTTTCTTTTTAGAATAGCCTTTTACATCTGTTATGATCAGCACAGTATTTTGATTGTTTATCAAAACTTAACATGGTCATTATAGTGCACTGTTGTAATGGATAACATTTTTTTACCATTGAAACTATGGTTCTATATTACAAAATGTAGATTTTCAGTAGTCAACCTGGAATTTAGAATAATCCAAGAGAAATGTTTATGAAGTTATTAATGGTTTGTAAAGAGGTGAGGAGGTGTATAGAGATAATTATAAAGATGTATCCACTAGCTGCTTTAAGACAAAATTATGTAAGAAACAACAGTTAATTGAGTACAATGTGAAAATGTTAGATTGAATAATGCAAATGTAACTGAAATCATTGTTTTTATTCTACAACATGTATTAAATAATATTCATTTGAATGGTAGTACGTTATTATGAATATTTGTCAACGATGCAAGGTCTAAAATTCAGTATTGAAAAACAAATAAAAATGATTCTAGAGCCTAAAATGGCTTTGCCCTGTGGTAGCTCTTTCTTGAGAATTTTGAAAGTCTTGGCCAGTCCAATGATTCTTTCAACATGAATTCGCTTTGATGCGATTCTTCGGTCTTTAACAACATCTTGTGCTCAAGTTGGCTTTTTCCTTTCAACATTGTTGGAGTGTTGACCTGAATGTTACGAGGGGGAAACAAATCCTGGACCATGATACCCCTGTCAGCCATTATACTGTCATGGTCTTGGAATTTGTCCTGGTCTCTAAGTAAGTCAGAACGTTCAATAATTTGTCTGTCACTTGTAGCACCACAGTATGCATCGGAAATATAACTGACAGTTCCATGTGGTGTACAACCAATCATCACCTTTAGTGTATTTTTATTCTTGTAATTCGAAAATGTAGCACTCTGGGCATTTACATTCTGGGGCTTATTTATTGGTACCTCAGTGGCATCAATTATCACTCTAGTTTTGCAGAAATTTGCAAAGAAGTCATCAGGCATATATTCATCAATTACAGATCTCGAGGGCCAAATGTTAATCTCTTTAAGTTGGAAGTACATAAAATTGATCCATGTAACAATAATATTTGAAACAGTACTTTCACTGACTTGGAACAAATAACTCAACTCAATGTCTTCTTTAGTTTGTCTCAGTTTTATCATAACTAAAAAGAACTGGTCTTGAGGGGAAAGTAAGTTGCTTTTTAGATTCAAATCATGTGCTGCAGGACCAAGTACTTGAAAAAACATCATGAAATGGTTATAATTTTCAAAAACAGTGTAATATTTCACCATTTTATCAATACTTTGCAATTGTTCAATGGAAAACCTGTTGCTTTTTCCAATATCACACTGGACTGACTGATCATGCTGCTTCTTTTCATCACTTTCATACCATTAACAATCAACATTAACTTCTTGTACAGACTCCACCACCACTTCATTCACAACACATTCACTACTAGACCCATTTTCACTATGATCTCTAATGCATTCACTACTAGACACATTTTCACTATGAT